GTATGTAGTCTTCACCGCCTAATCGCCCAATCGACTACTCGCCTACTCGCCTACTCGCCTACTCGCCTACTCGCCTAATCGATTCGTATATTTTTCTCATAGAGAGATCGCCTAATCGCCTACTCGCCAACTATGAACACTCCATATCCTAATCTCCTTCTCTACTACTATCCTACTAGTGTAATCTCGTAGTCGGGTCTAATCCAGTTCGGGGGGGGGGGGCAGTCACTATGCAGCTTCTCGGCGTTCTTGTGTAAAACCGCACAGTATAATTTCATCTAGTTTCACACGCATGCCAAGTGACTGCCCTCACCCCACAACCCCTAGACTGCCTACATTCCCCCTGGCTCGCAGTTGCCTTAGCTTTCTGGAGAAACTTCATCACGATGCCCCCCTAACTGGAGTAGACCCTCGTAATCTACTACTCTCCGGCGATTTCAATCGATTTGATTTAATCTGGTCAGCGCACTATCCTACTCTCCTACTATCGTAATCTACTACTCTCCTATTCTCCCCATCAGTCCATATCTTTTTCGATGCCGCGTACATCCTGATCTCCCAAGTCGCGGAGTATGAACGCATCCCAAGCCTTGTAGTGGAAAAGACTTCGAGATGGGTGTGCCAACTATAGCGTAGCAAGTTTTGTGTGGATTATTCGGATCATGAGCCGCTGTAAGCCGAGACAGCGCAGACGAGAGCATGAATTGAGGCAGCCTAAGAGTCCGAGTTCAAATAGTCTGCCGACGCTATCATATGAGCTTCCGCAGGTGTCTGCGGTCGCATCAGTGGAACATGAGACCTCCCACACCTGTCTCGGTTTTGGGTTCTCACTGAATGCTGTTCTAGCATCACAAAAGATCGGCAACCCCTCCCGAATATAGAGAATGAGGGGCCAAAACATGGAGGAACTTTCGCATCGATGTCACGCTTGGCAAAACCCTTCAAACTGTACAAAAACCAATTATACCCGATGACGACCACGTCCATACCATTCAAAAACATCGAACCATAAAACTATAAGAAAACATGGAGCTAAATCCACAGCTGAAATGAAGCACGCCAGCTGTACATGACTGGACATATCTGTCGCCGTCGAATTTTCTAGAAATTGTGCGTCGACGCGTTGCCTTCCAAACATTGTCTGTAAACACACCCCACACTAATGCACGTCATAATTCTCGGTTCGCAACAATTGTGAGCCAAGCTGCTCGATGTTCTTTCTCCATATGCGAGTTCTTTGTAAGTAGGAACAAAGGAGTGTAGTAAGTGAGTAGTTAGACTACTCGGGTGCTGACGGACGACGTTAGAATCATGGCACGTTAAATATTTGGTATGTAGGAGCAGTTCATGTTAGGTCATAGATTCGCCTTACCTTGTTCTCAGTTGATTGTTTGAATTTTTACGACGCCACCTGTTTAATTTATGCTATATAAGAAAGCTACATTTTGCCACCATGAAGAGAGAACTTGTTATGTGATCACTGATGTTCTAGAATGGCCGATGAGCATTATATGAGCGAAAATGGAGTTGGAAACAATCAGTCTTATCACGACTACCATATTCAACAACAGCAACAGCAACAGCTCCAACAACAACAGCAACAACAACAAAGGAATGTACAGATGAACCGTCCTGTGCTACAAAATGAACCGTCGGTCTCCATTGTGAGGTATGAGAAACATTTTGATAAGTTCAATATTTGCACATTTCTGAGTTAAACTCGAGTTTGGAAAGGGGTGCACGCGGCCTTCAAGCGTTACTCCTGTGGTAGGAGTACGCCTTCTCTTTTCATTGAACGAGGTCTTTTCAATCACGTTCTTGCAGACTTATGCACAAAATCACCACTATGAACTTCCTTTGAATAGGGCTTTTTTCACTCCATTACAAACCTAGTAATTATAAACAATTTCCCAGATATTTTCGATCCTATCGGAAGAAAAGTGGATGTTCAACTTTTTGTTTATTTGATATACAATTGAAAATGTCATTTAGACATTTTATTGATGCTCGGAAGAAAATGGATCCCTTCAAGAGTTCATACGGGCATGTAGAAACTGTCAAACTTTTTCCTTTGCTGGCCTTCGGATTCAGAGAGGAAGAGCCTAATGTTTGGCTGCTCATTGGCCTGTTGAGCTGATCTTGAGCTAGTCTATCTTCGTGTTCCTAAAATGACTTGTGGATGGGGAAATAGGTTATTCTTTGTATGAGATTAGTATTAGATTACTCCATTAGTAACTAGTCGGCAATCATTAATAGGATCATTACACTTTTTTCGGAAGCAGATTCTCAATCTTTACAGGGATGATATCCAACGGCCCTTGTCGACAATGCAACAAAATCTGCTGCAAGGAATAACACAGGTAACAGATGCTCTTTTGTGATCTTCAGTTTACTTTTTCGCTATCTTTGCGATACAATCTAAGGTTGTTTCCATGCTTAGCTGAGATAAGATTTTCGACCGGTTTTTGTTGGATAACTGGTGTTTTACTTCGCAGTTCGCGTTGCGAAGGTTATCTTAAAGCCAGAGATTACGATAAAGGTGGGTGCGTCATGGAAGTAAATGCATTAGTGGAAGGAGTGCTCAGGGGCCAGAGGATGCGATATGTGTTGTTTTCGTGGCCGAAGGTGCGCTAGTTACAGAACGCTGGGCTTGTCAATCCTCCCTGAGCTCCGCCTCCGCCTGAGCTCCGCCTATCAGTAGTTGCTAGCAGCAACATCATTCGATTATCATTTTGAAAGGATATCTCACTTCGAGCGGCCGCATCATATATCTTTTGTATGGAAAACGTTATCACAAGGCATGGTGTTTGCTGGCATTATGATGGCTATCAGGTTAACACATGCGAACGTCTCTTCACTAGGTTGCTAGATCGTCGTACGTAGGTGGTCAACGGGTAGGGAGAAAGGCTTTCGTGTTCTAGATGGATTTTTCTGCTTCCTTTCACTATTATCCCATTATTCAGCATCCCCACTTTCACTGTAAGTCCAACCCAATCTCATCGTAACCTCTCGCTTTAAGAATGCTTGAGTTCCGGTAAACTCAGCATTCTTGAGAGACATGATTCATAGCTCGTACACCTCTCGTTGTTGAAAGTTGAAATTGATTGAGATTTCTAGGTATGCTTCTAAATGCTGTTTTACTTCGAGATTTTGAATGAGTTGTCTACTTATTTTTTTGTGTGATGATAATGTTTATCTTATGATTGTCACGATTTCCAAATTCGATTGAACACCACGTTTATAGCGTGTCTAGGATGGATTGATGTTCAGGATCCTCCGAACATTAACATGCGCGAATTCATCAACGAGTTGGAAGACTATGTGCCCACAATCCCTGATTCAGTTACCCTGCATTTCATGCGATCCTGTGGTTGTGATTGTTCTGATCCTCGAATCGTAAGGTAAGTCACCTCAACAATTATGGTTTTGTAGTGATGGCATTTGAGATCTCGGCTTCAGGTTGATAGCTCTGGCGACTCAAAAGTATGTCTCCGATATAATTCTTGACGCTATGCAACAGGTAAATCAAATTCAAACTAAACGTTCTTCCTTAAATTGCGCAGGTTTTTAGCTCTCTCACGTATTTTTGTCGAAGCTTCGCCTCTAATATGTATTCAACGTAGAGAGGAAGTTGTAGTAATGCGTGCTAAAATTCTTTTTCCATTCTTTTCTGTATGATCCACTGTTTGGGCAATCCCATTCCCGATTCTGGAAGGTCACGCTTTTCCTCATTGTGCTGGCCATTGCTGAAGGTCACGGACTGGGAATCGTTTTGAGCAATCGAACCTGTTGCCATGTATCCAGAGTGAATGATGTCATTCCTACGTAAGGGTACCTTTTTTAAGGTTATTTTGGGACTTGACTGAATAATGAAGACATTAGTTGTTATGCGGAAGAATTGCGAATTCTTAGCATAACACCGAAAGGGTCGGGGTGTGCTAGGGCATTTTCACATCCTGTGAACATTAATGTGGGTTGTCCAAATTATCGCATTTCCTGCTCTAACACTCAGCTTTTAGCTCTGTAAAAAACTGCGCGACGCATAAGTCTCTCTAACCATTCAGAATTGGTCACTTTTCTCTAGATTCCAAAAAAATCTCTTTCAGGCTCGAATGAAAGGGCTTGGACAAACGAAGAAAGGCACTAAAGAAACTAGGTACTGCTTGACGAACGATGTTCTTGAACCAGTTCTGAAAGAGTATGGAATAGATTTTATTCTGCCGCCTTATATGCACTAGAAGTAGCCGGTGTTAGAAATCATTGTTAATAGAAATTTTCATTCTTTCATGCCGTCCTAAATCCTATTTATTTTACGTTCTGGAATTTTCGGCTTTGTATAGTAATCATTTCTTTTTTGTATGGACCGATGTTGCATCTTTGTATTGAAAATTGTACGTATTCCTCATCTTCATCTTTCTTGTACAGTTACTGCGTAATAAATTCTTATAACTTCGGTCTTGTTGGAATTAATACTACGGCTGGTCCACATATTTATGGATAATTATTTCACTCCTAGTTAGTGGTTCTTATCCCAGCTCGCTATATTCTTTTGACTCCAGAGCCTCGTCAGCCAGAATTCTATGCAAGCTGACGAAGTCTTAGAGTTATTCGGCTTCAAATATGTTTCCACTGCGACTGATGGTTCGTCGAATGTCTCATCTAGCGTCTAGATTCACCGGACGAGGAGATGTCCATGTGGTAGATCCTACGGTTGACCTTAGGTGGGGTTTCCAAGCCCTATTCACTAGTTGCCTGACACATCATTTGATCCTAACACCCTCTCAATTTCTAGGTATATTTTCGAAGACATGGAGAAGTTGCGGCGTGCGTTAGAGGAACGTCGTAGTGATGTTAGCATCTCGGAGGTGAAGAAAAAATATGATGCATGGTGGACGAAATATCAGATATGGAAGGAAGCCAATGGCTTTCCAAAGGTTTGAGTTTACTAGACTCAGTGAAGCAAAAAAATTCATTCGCGCTTATTCAAGAAGTACTTGCTTACGGCCATACCACGCTGAAAGCGTGCCATCCCGTCCGATCTAGCAAGTTAAGCATCATTGGGCCCGCTTAGTACTTAAATATGCCTTCGATTAAGCGTTATTGCATCTAGGTTATCAGGTCAAACTGACAGAAATGGGAGATTTTGGCAACTTCCATACTCTCGTGTTTGCGCCACGCATCCTACTTTCACAGAAATGTAGGGAGATCTCATTCCCAGCATATTTTAGAATAGGCCAAGTGGTTACTATAGAAAGATTCAAGCACCTACTGGCCTACTATAACTCCTGCTGTGATCAGAATGTCAAGCAGGGTTCATTGGCTATGTTCTGCCAACGAGGTTTTCCGATGGCAACTTTATTAACGGCCTAACGTTTCGACTTAATCGTCTTTCTCAAAGAGCCGAGGTTCTCTGAAGAGAGAGTGTGGAGAAAAGCAAGGCAGGGGTTTCCCACTCCCGTAGAGTCTGGTACAAACCAGTTAATTCGGAGGAAGATTTGATTTATATGTATGTGTTAGAATCAGGCTCTAACCTGGATCCTCCAATGTTAAGTGGCGCCAGTCTACTTTTTCTTCACGCCTACTTCTTGGCTAGTTACTCGCCCAAAGTCAAATTGGTAGCAGGAACCTGGCCCTAGGCGAGTGGATACCAGGAATTCGTCTAACAAGGAATGCTCAACTGGTCAGTCCAGCCGTTTGTAATGAGAAGTAGCCCGATCCACGCGTCTTGCGACGCTGAGCTCAAATCTGCTTTCCATTTTTGCGGAACAGTTCCCTGAAGGAAGATACGAGGGAGATTCTCACTGTGGCTTTAAATGTGTGGCGCCCTCACACCCCCCTCTCTACGCATAAGATGAGCCGGAAAGCAGCTCTACCAGCGGGCTTCGTGGTGTAGTGGGTAGTAGTCTTGCTTCAGATGGATGAGATCTCGGAGCGAGAGGTGAAGAGGCCCGCTAGAAGAGCCCTTCCGGCTTATCTTACACAAACAGAAGGGAAGCAGAGGGCGCCGCAGTGAGGAAAAATCCCTCGTAACTTCCTTCAGGGAGTCGTTCCGCAAAAACGGGGACC